AGAGCGGTCGTAAACTTGTTAACATAAATAAATAAATAGGCATTTGAGCATAACATCGTGAATCCTCAGGCCACACTGCACCAGCCTTGGCCTGTGCACATGTGGAGAAATAGTAAGTCGAATGGTGTTGATATCCATTAACTCAGTTACTAGTCGCTTAATCATGGTTTCTCACCAGTGACTTTATTTACGGGGAGATGAGAAACGGATGGGCAGGCACCCGCTCCTGGTGTGGGTGTCTGGCTCAGCCGCAGCCTCTAAGAGTTCCTGCAAACCTGGGGTTCAGGCTGCTCGCTCTTGGGAAGGCCGGCTATGTCCACGTGTCCCCGCGTCCCCGTGAGGCCTCCGACCTTGTCCTCTGCCATCTTCGCTTCTGGAGGCTCTTGTCCTGCAGCATCCAGTTTCAGCCTCCAGAAGGTGCCTGCAGATCCCCTCCTCTGTGAGGCTGCTTCTCGGACACCCCACTTCTGTTCACTTGCAGGCTTGGAGCTCACCCTCTTTGGGGGAGCGGACTGGCCTGGGCCCCCCAGTGTGTCGCACACCACGGCCCACGTTTTACACCGGGAGTCAGGCGTTGTGTCCACACGGGGGAGCTGCAGGGTCAGCCTTTCGCATGTTTAGGATTCCAGTCTCCTCTTATGTTTGGAGAATAATGGGAAAAAAAAAAACCTTTGAGTCTTCCTGAAGGGCCACGTCCAAACATCTAGCAGGAGAGATCAGTTTTATAATAAAAAATGAACATCACATTTGGAGTGGTCTCATAAGCAGCAATGTCATTTTTTAGTTACGGTAAAACAGAGCAAAATTATGGAGAAATTTAAGGATGATCCTCTGTTTTCCACTTCAGCTTTGATTTCAGTGTCTCGTTGCCAGATGTGCAGAGGAGAACCTTGGACGTGGCCGTGAAGAACAGCGGTGGCTTCCTGTCCAAAGACAAAGGGCTTCTCGGCAAAGTAAGTTCGAAAAAAAAAAATCCTACACTTTGTAAAAATTAAACACTTAGCCCAGAGTACTCTTTTTAGACTAGATTTATGTACGTGGATAAACCACGTCAGCTAAGCTGCTGTGAGTGGGTTTGTGAGCCGGTATCGATGTGAATTATCCCCCCTGGTACTTTGTGATAACTTCCTGTCGAGACTGTTGGATACAGGAAGGGCCTCTTGGCCCTCTTGACCGTATAGGTCATGGGTGGATCATAAGGGTAGAAAAGTTGAAAAGTGAGAGGCTGAAAATGAGGGAGAGTGTGTTGCCAGAGAAGATCGGAAGCGATGGTGAGAGGCCTGAAACCCACTGTTGCAGGCCTTTTCTCACCACAGGTCCTGGTTGGTCTGGCATCTGAAGAACTCGCCAAAGGCTGGACCCAGTGGTGAGTGCCCCCCAACAGACAGACGCAGAGCCCCATGCGTCCATTCAGGAGCGCTTCCCCTGTGACCGTGTGTCTTCCTGTGTCTCAGGTATGACCTCACGGAGGATGGGACGAGGCCCCACGTGGTGACGTAGGCTGCGCTGGCCGAGGAGTCCCCGCTGTATCCGCCAGCCCCGTGCCGACACGCAGCCCACACAGACGCACCCATGCTCTTTTTATAATTTCATGTACTTGGTTACTTGTCCCTTAGCGGTTTTATAAAACATTGACGTTTTAGGCGTATTTGGCCATGATTAGCATTAAGTTTTGTATGTTTAATTTCCTCTAGTATTTGACCAGTTTTTTCGGCGTGCATAGGATAGTGGTCAACCGTTGTGTGCATAAAGCTGTATGTCAGTTGTCTCTCCTAGGAAGCCGATATATGGTTGTGCTTTTTTATTCCTTTGTTTTGTATATCACTGAGGTGCACTATGCTGTGTAAATAGACTATTTTTTATAATCTCTACATGCTGGTTTGAATTCAGAAGAAAATGGATCAAGGAAATATATATATTTTTTTCTTCTAAAACTTATTAAATTCTTATGACAAATAACCGTTTTTGTCTCTGCAGGAAAAAGCTCTCAGTGACCTATTTTTTGGTGTTTCTTTTTAAAAAGAAAAGCTGAAAGATTAGTGAATATTAGTATATTTCTGCCCATTATGAATGATGAAAGAATGTATTCAAAGTATTTACACTTTCATAAATATAAAGATGTATTATTGAGAAGTCAGTTGAAGTGCTTATCAGGAAAAATGTCACATAACTGAGTTATATAAAATATTAAGAGAGTTGTCATGGTTCATAAATCATAGTGCACTAATCTGAAATTTCTTACATAAAATGGAATGTCTTAAGTTTATTTCTAGTTGCTTGTTGTAACTTATTCATGAAACAGTGCAGATACATAATCATACTTTTCCTGAAATGTAATACAGACGGATTTTAAACGTTAGCAGTTAGTCTGTTGTGAAGTTTACAGTGTTTTTCAGCCCGAAAAGAAAGACAAACTCACGTTGTCCCCGTAGAGGCTGTGAGGTAGGTCGGGTTGAGTAGCTAGGAAATCGCAGCGGGAGCCGACGCCGACCCGTGATCGTCAGCGTGATGCACACAGAGGACAGAGCCCCCGAGCCGGCGCCAGCCACCACCGCAGCCCCGAGGTTCCGGCACAGCGGCTGCTGGTTGTAAGGAACCCCTTACTGGGTTTCCTCACTTTATGCCATGACTGACCTCAGTATTGGAATATTGTTATACAACTTTTATTTGGGAATATTTTTCTTCTTAGATTATGAAAAGCATGTTTTAGATACTTAAAGGCCACAAGCCTCTTACGAGGTGAGGCTCCATAGCCGTGCGGTAGCTGTGCATGCCCCGAGCACAGGGTGCACGTGTGCAGAAAGAGCTTTAAGGATTCTGAGACGTGTGATGCAAATGACTTCCTTAGCCAGAGGGCACCCTACAGCTATGTAGTAATCCCGGGAAAAATAGAGCTGTGAGATTGAGTCAGAGACCTCACTAGGGCCCCCGCCATGGACTCCTGGACGTGACCGGCCTGCCCAAGTGCCTGTGTGCACGCCACCGCTGCTCCTGCCCTCTGGTGGGTTTCAGTGGTGTCCACCGCACACCTTGAACCCTGGCTGTGTGTGTGATGGGGCCTGTAGCCTTGCAGTACGTCTCATGCAGTCGTGCAGCCCCGGTGCTCTCGCAGCTTCCTGGGTCATGAAGCTTCTCCGAAGCCCCAGCAGAGACCATCTCCTCTGTCAGCGTGGGAGGGCCTTACGAACGTGGTGACACTCAGGGGTGTGTTCTCGGGAAACACCTAACTCTGGTACTGCAGCAGCGTGAGGAAGACAGGTAATTCCTAAATCTAGTTGCCTGCCCGTGGTATTAGATCTTTGGAGATTTTTTAAAAATTAGGTTTGTTGTGGGAATTCCCTGGTGGTCCAGCGGTTAGGACTCGACGCTCTCACTGCCAGGAGCCCGGGTTCAGTCCCTGGCTGGGGAGCTAAGATCCCACAAACCATGCGGTGCAGCCAAAAAAAAAAAAAAGTTTGTTGCAGGGCTTCTGGCAGTGGTCCCCAGCCTTTTCGGCACCAGGGACCGGTTTCGTGGAAGACAGTTTTTCCATGGACTGGGGGTGGGGTGGGGGAAGATGGCTCGGGTGGTAACGCCAGCGATGGGGAGCGACGGGGAGTGGCAGGCGAAGCTTTGCTTGCTCGCCCGCCGCTCGCCTCCTGTTGTGCGGCCAGGCTCCTAACCAGTCCTCCTCCCCGGGGGCTGGGGGCCCCTGGCTCCTGGCATATTTCTAAGACAGGAGAAACACTCACTGAAATGTAGCATACCAGTGATTTCTACCAACATCCCCAGCTTTTGGGTTTTGTAGCCACGTGGTTCACCTATTCAACGTGTATTTTACATGGTGGAATACTGCAGTTAAGCAATTAGGCAAAATAAATGCCGTGAAAGGTACAAAACCCAAACAAGGCCAATTAGCAGCATGATGCCCACCCTCTGTGTGGACCGTGGGGCTGGACACAGACCCAGCAGTGGGTTCTCTTTGAAAGGAAAGGGATGACTCTGAGGTCACTGAAACACCTCCCAGGTGGGATTCTGTCCTGATGGCCGATGGGTGTTTTGGGAACCTCTTGTGTCCAGTTGGGCAGCTGAGAATCAGTATCAGGCCAGACCTCTGGCCGGGCTCCAGGATCCTGACAATGGACACTCCGTTCTCAAAACCTTCATGGTCGGTGGTTCTGAATAATTGATTCATCTGGGAAAAGGGAACTTTAGCTTTTCTACCTTGAGTCAAACCAATGGAGTGGAAATAAGTGTTGGTTAATTTGAATTGTTACTTTGTTGCTTATCCTGTGCCTTAAAGTAGGAAGTGTGAGGCAGTTGCTTCAGGTTAAAACAGAAGGAGGCTTGCAGCTGAATTCACTACAGTTTATTCCTCATCCAGAGGTCAGCCCTCCTTTGTCAAGCACTGAAGCCAGATGCAGTCAGCCTGTGTGTTTATACTGTGGTTGTTGCTTTAACTCCAGTCTAGCTGGATGGCCCACTGCGGATGGAACACAGCAGAGGGTTTATTGTAGAATGCCCTTTCCGCTCAACTAATTTTACACGACAGTGCATGTGTTTATTCAATAAAACCTTTCTGTTAGCTCACTTGTGATTTGTTATTCCTTTGTCTTTTGGAGTAAAATTTTTAGCGTGGAAGCAGGTAATTTGAAAAGTGGTTACAGTATAGTATTTATATTTGCTAGTTGTTAATTCTTTCATTTTCAAAAGAACTGCCTCAGGGCACTGATATTACTCCTTTTGTTTCCATCTTAATTTGACTGTTCTCTGCCTACCTCAGACTCTGAGTTTTGAAAACAGCTCTTCTGAAAGATAATCATGAGTAGAAAAAACAGTCTTGAAAACCAGAGCACTGAGAAGTAATGAAAGAGGGTCTGGTTTGAACAAGTGGAGGGGAACCACTAGAGGTGCCACTGCTGTTGGCATCCCCTGCCGATGGTCGGGGTCAGCCTCCCTGTTAATCAGCTCACTCAGCACCATCACAGTAGCATAATCCCAGTTTAGCTTTATTTAAAACCATTTCCCGCCTGGACTGTAAGTGTCCAAAGCAGAGGTTATGTGGGTGTTATTTAAACCTTTTCCAATTGTTTATCACTGTTCCTAGCACACAGTTGGTGAGTAAATATCAGTTGAATAAAGGATGAATAAACCTGGCAGACCTTAAATAACATTAATTTGCCCTAACAAGTTTCCATTTAAGGAAAGGTAGACACCTATTGATAGTTCTTAGTTCGGGCTAAAGAGAAAGGTGCTGGTGAACATAGTAAAGAGTACACCCTATTGAGACAAAGGCCATAGTCTGAGAAATAATTGTCTGAGAAACAGTTGAGGCAGAAAAGTGGGAAATGAGCCAGGAAGTCTGTCTGTATTTAGTGTTAATATGGAAATCCTGGGCAATACGATAGGGAAAG